CCCGTGAAATCCAAGGAGGGGAAAAATCAGATGACTGAGGGGAACGTGGGCAGACTTTGTTTTTTCTCACAATGTCCACCTTTAAAAAGCATTTGGGGTAATTCACGGAGCAGGGGCTGCAGCACATAGTTTCCAGTCTCTGGCCATTCCACGCCTGTCCCTAACCTGAGCATTTTATGGCCAAGACTGCAAAGAACATTAGTTTTAAAAAAGAAATGAAAAAGAAACCAAAACACACATCCTGAAATATCATTCAAAAGCTCAAGAGTGAGTGGACCGTAGAGATGTCACCGCCAGCAACCAGCACTGGCCTGGCGTCCTCAGCAGCAAGAGCAGATCTCAGATCTATGGGTCGTGGTTCCGTTTATGCTGCTGTGTGAAGGGCTCTGGGAGTGACCCATGAAAAGATTCACTGATGCTGGCCCCTTGCTGTGAAATGCAAAAGGGGTGATGTACAAACACGCTTGTAAAATCCCCGTGCTCGTGCCCGCGCTGGGCGAGGAGATGTCATTTACTCAACACTCACCAAGCGCCAGGCACTAGGCGGAAGCTTTTCAGAGACATCATTTCATGGAGTCCTCCCAGCGAGCCCGTGAGAGACATGCTCTGTCACCCGTGTCCAATGAAGCTGATGCTCCGGGCAGGCAAGGGAACAGGGCCAGCGCTTACAACCAGTGCTGCTACCCTGCCAATCTTCAGCGAAGGCAGAGGTTTTGCTTAAAGACACTCTTGGTCTTGACAATGTACCAGGGTACTTCGAAGAGTTCATGGAAAAATAGAATTGAAAGACAATACGAATCTTTTCGTGAACGCTTTAAAGTAACCACGTATGTTTAACAAAAGCCTCATTTCAAAGCTAGTTGCTCTTCTCTGGTGTGTCCCACATACATCTTGGGGTGCCAATTGTCCCTCAGGGTGTTTTGCGTTGGTGGGGTCAGCAGATGCAGAGTCACCCCAGAAATGCCCACACACTATAGTGGAACCCAAGAACCCAGTCCCCTCCTGCCCAGCAGGCTGGAGAGCACCGCTTATTTTCCGCACCATATTGCTTTCCACCCTTCCAGGACCCTAGCAAACCCCAGGCCCCACCTCAGATTTTATGATGTCTGCATGCGTATGATTGCAAAAAAGTATTTTCTACCAAAAGGGGGAGGAACAAAACTTAATAAGCAGATTTCCAGAGTGAGAAGATGTAACCCCTGGCTACAAAACAAAGCAGTTCCGTCTGAGCATCTAAAACTCGTGATGCGGCTGAATCCACGTGGCTCACCAGCCTTCCTGTCTGTGCTGGAGGTGGCTGCGAGGAGGGAGGGTTGAGAAGGACTGTCCGTAGCCTTCTCACTGAGAGAGGCTGGGCCCTGCTCCCCAGCTCTGGCAGAGACAGACCTAGGGAAGTGATTCACCCATCTGTCACATGGGAGCTGCCGGTCACCCTGCTCTGTGCCTTAAAGTCAAGCGTGATGAAAATGGGGCATATCCTGGCTGCCACTGGAATGGACTGCAATGGCAGAAGTCTAAGAGAAGAAGGGCCTTGGAAACACACAGAGAAACTGAGGCCCAGGCTGGGGACCAGACTCCTGCTTCAGTGCTCTTTCCACAACACCGTGCCTGAGTACAGATAGCCATAGGGGCGGCCACTTGCTGGAGTCTGTGGGGGCTGATGGGAAGTTTATCCACAGGATGCTTGGGCATCACGTGGAATGTCATTCCAGCTGCCCATGCAAACCGGGCTGGCTGTGCCCCAAACCAGGTGCACACCTAGCCCCTGAGGTCCTTTACACGCTGGCCTGGTTCGGGCCCCATCTGATTATTTCTGCCTCCTTCATCAGGGGGACAAAGGTGCCATTGGGATGCCTGGACGTGTGGTGAGTTGGCACATCTGTACCCGCTTGGGTGGCCATTGCTTGCTTCTCATGCTGGCCTGTCCTCTGAACTCTGGCAAGGTGCTGCCCACCCCAGCCCCGAGGAGGGGTCAGCACTCTCCATGTCCCAGGCCCGAGTCTGCTTCAGGGAGGGACAGGGAAGGAGAAAGGAAGAAGTTTTATTCCGGTCCTCCAGACCTCATAGCATGGCTTTACTCTGCAGAGAGCCACCACAGCAAAAGAAATATCCAAGAAAGTCACACGAGTAAGCTCTTTGCCGCTCACCTACTGGGTGACAGGGAGGACTCCTCCTGCCCCCTCAAAGCTGGCAGCTCACCCTCAGATTCATCAGTCTCCTGCAGCCACTCTCAGTGGAGCCAGAGTTTCCAGAGATGTCCTCTGTAGACAGACACACTAAAAGATGTGAAGGCAGGGCTTGGCTCCAGGAGGTGCCTCCAAATCTTCAGCAGGAGGCTGAAGTTAAAACATTTAACATTTCCTGCTAATGGATGAAGATGGAGAAAGGGAGATGAGAATGTTTGATAGGGAGAGTGTATTCCAGAAATGGGAAGGCCAGCACCAGGTCCTGAGGTCCTGTCACCAGAGCTTCTCCTGGTAGCTTCCGGATGTTGTCTCTGAAGGGCTAGATAGGTGGCAGCCTAAGGCAGTGGGGGCCACGGCCACGCACATGCTCGGCCTCTCCACTTCCCACCCTGGTCTAGGATGTGGCCAGGGCTATTCTTCCCTTCTGACTCCTAACTTCACGCTTCATCAGCCTCCACCTCCACCCTGGCTCTCCAGGCCCCTGGCCACCCCCATGGCATTCCAGCTTTGCCTCAGAATCTCACCTCTTGGGCTGGGATTGGTGTCAGACACTGGTGTGGCATCCTTGTGTGAATTTGCATGCCTGGCATGAGCCTGCTGTGCTCAGAGGGTGAGAAAGGGCATCTGAATCCTAGCTAACACTTGGAGTGCTAACTGCATGCTGGGCATTGTGCTAAGAGCCTCACAAGAACTGCAGGAATGAGGCACAATTTCCTCCCCACTTTTTCAGATGAGAAAACTGAGGCTCCAAAGTTAAATGTCTTTCCCAAAGTGACACAGCCAGGAAGTGGCTGAGCAGGGACTTTAGCCCAGACAACTGACTCAGACCTATCCTCTTGCCCCTGACAGTGCTACTCCCACCCACCCCCACCCCATGGGCCTCACAGCTCTATGGAGGATCTGGTCCTCAGGATGAAGCCCTGGAGGCCTGGGACATTTCAGAGATAGGTACAAGTGTTTCACATCACAGAGCTTTGAGCTCCCCTGGGCCCTCCCAAGGCCTGTCTGTCAAGGCATGGAGGCTGGGACCCTGGGTCACCCCACATGAAGCTCTCCCACCTCTTTCCAGACCAGACAACTGTGGAGTCCCTGTCACTTTGCTTCAGCTTTCTGAAGCTGGGTCCACCCAAGCGGTCACTGGGTCCCATACAGAGCAGGGAAACACTATTCAGCTGTCCTTTCTCCAGGTGTGTGGGCCTGAGCTAGGCACATTCTCCACCATTGCCCTCTGAGACCCTGTTTTATGGATGAGCATTGTTGAGACTCAGTGTACCCTAATGAGGGTGGAGTTGGGTGTTGTACCTAAGACGACTGTGGGGCCCAAAGTCCTTGCCCCTAACAGGTAAGCTTCAGGAGCCTCTGCCCCGAGCTGCTGGCCTGTAGGAAAGGTTGCAAAGTGCAAAGTGGCACCGCCCGGCCTCCCCCTCCTGCTCTCCTCCTGGGCCCTGTGGACATCTCCCCCCAGGAAGTGTCCATTTGGGTCAGTTGTGACCCACAGCAGTGGGGGAAGAGGGAAGGGGACCCACAGGAGGTCTCCCCACCCCCTTCTAGGCAAGGTTATTTCCAAGCCACTTTGGGGCTTTCATACTGCTGGTGCTATTTTAAATGTGACAATGGGCCCATTTGGCTGCCCAGTAGGGGTCCTGGCATGAGCCACCTCATAAGGACTGGGGTGACCAGTGGGTGTGAAATGCCTGAATCACAGAGGTGTCACCACTGGCCTGTTCAGAACAGGGTGGATGGGAGCCGTCCATCTACTGGCCATTATGGTTACAAGGGACCCTTGGCTGACTACCCAGCTTTCTCTGCATCATTGACCCATCCTCCATCCTTCCAGATGTGTGTGTCCTGCCTCTGTCCACCCGTGTCCCTTCATGTTCCATCCCTCCACCTTGCCTGGGCAGCCCTGAGGACTCCGGGGCTTGTCTTACTCGGCAAAGCTTTGTACGGGGCACTCGGCCGGACTTTCAAACTTCTCGGGCTCCACGTCACAACACATGCCCATCCCCACCTCAGATTGGCCCGGCCAGCTGGGGCCATGGCTTCTCCAGCAGATTTTCTGACCTGGGTGGGGTCTTGTTCTCCCTCTGTCCCTCTCTGTCTCTGTGTGTGTCTCTCTGTCTCTCACACACGCGCGCACACAGTTTGAGAGGGCCCCCTGTGCCCAGCCACTGTCCCTCTCTCAGTGATCTGGAACGGCCCTGGGGCCCGGCTGCGCGGGCTGAGGCGACACCTTCCACGCTGCATTTGATGGACGTGGGACCTGCTGGGTGTTGGTGTCGGTGTTATGTTTTGCTTCTTGTTTCGCGGTGATTTCTTTTGTTTGGTCTTTGCGCCATGAGCATGGATCCTTGTGCTGGTGGCCCTCTCTCATCCTCTTCTTCTTCTCTCCCTCCTTCCCTTGCTGCACCCTGCGCTGCGTGTGGCTGTCCAGGGAGTAAAGGGCCAACCGGGCGAGAAGGTGAGTCCACGCTTCCGCTCCCACCCTCGCCCAGCCTCCTCTTCCACCGACGGGCTCTTGTGGTTGGGAGGGACCTTCAGAGGCCCCATCCCAGCCGTCCTCCACCATGGGGGCCCCAGCATGCCCGGCCTGCTCTGCCCTCACAGAGGAGGCTGCCTCTGGTGGCCCAGTCTAGTGACAACTCCCACACTGTGGGGCAGGAGTCTTGGGATGCCTGGTCCCAGCTTCCCACCACTGCTCTGATCCCGGCCTTAGGCTGTCACCCTTCCCCAGGGCAAGGAGTCCCAGGCCCCTGTGTGGGTGGGGAGAGCATCCAGCCCTCCCCCAGCAGGGCAGTCTCCGTCCTTCTGCCAATGTCCCCGCCCACCTCCATCCGTGCAGCAGGCATCCTCCAGCCTCCTTCTGTGGCCCCATACACGGTATTTACCCAGCTAGCTCAGCCACCTTCAATGGCACTTTGAGCTCCTAGCCCAGCAGCACGCACCGTCCTCTCTCAGGTCTGAAAATCCTGCCCGCCTTAACCCCTCTGTGTCCCTCTCAAACAGGACTCACAAAGCAAGTGTGTGCCTTGTGTCCCCACCCTCTGTTTTCACAACCCCACACTCGGGCAGGTCTCTGTTCTCCAGCGGCAGGGTGTGCAGCCAGATGGGTAGTTGGGGATGGGGGTGGACAGGAAGGCCTGGGAGTTTTGGACCTTGAGTGGGGCTGAGCAGGGGGCGTGGGATGAGACGCCTGGGCAGCCATTGCTAAGGCTCCTCTCCCTCCTGTGTCTCCCTCTTCCCCGTCGCTACAATGAATCGTGTTCTCTCTGCTCCCCTGGCCTGGGGTCCCCCAACCCTCTTTTCTTCTGGGCCCCATCTTTTGCTCTCGCTGCCACCTCTTCTCTCTTCATGGCTGCTGCTTCCCGCTGCCCTCCCCAACCCTTGCTGGACGCTCCATGCATCCATCCCCCCTTGTCCTCTGTGTCCTCGGGCCTCGCGTCACTCCTGCCCCGCTCCCGCCAGCCCCTTCCCTTCTGCTCTTCCTCCCCGACTCCTCCACCCCGCCCCGGCCCCACACACGCTCCCCTCTTTCCTCTTTCTCTGTGTCCCCACAGGGTGCCCCCGGAGATGCTGGCATGTCCATCATCGGTCCCCGCGGCCCCCCTGTAAGTTGTTTTTCTCTTCTTCAGGGTGGGGGGATGGGTGAGCCAATGGAAAGGGCTTTTGGGGGGGTGAGGGGAGCGTGAGCCCCGGCTACGCCTCTGGGTGTGGCGGCCACCACATGTGATGTGGTCAGCCAGACCCGGCCTCGGTGCCGCTGTCGATGTTGAGAAAGTGGCCGGACTAAATATACCTAATTGCAGCCTCTTGGGAGGGCTCCAAAGGGCCTGCCCTCTAGCCACGAAACTGCAGCAGCTGTGAGGCGGCGCTGCTGTCCACAGGGACGAGGTGGAGGGAGAAGGTGCTGGCTGCTCACAGATGCGGCGCGGCTTCCAGCTCCCCTGGAGCAGCCCTTGCTTCTGGAAGCCCATGGAGCAGATAGCCAGAGTCCAGATCGCTGCCCCAAGCACCACTCCTGGTCCTGGCGGAGGTCCAGGCCAGCACTGTCTCTCAAAGGCTCCTTTCTGTGTGCAGCGCTGAGTCCTGTGTATTAATTAGTACCCTCCACCCAGCGACCAGGAGCTGGGGAAAATCAGTGAGGCCTCCCCTCAGATGCGCCTCCTTAGGGACTGAAAGGGGATGCGGGCGATGAAGCCAGCAAGGTATCGTGGCCGTGGGAAGGAGAACTGGTGGTTTTTTCCAGAGTGCCCAAACTGCAGGGCTTCAATAAAATCACCAAATGTCAAGGGGGAGAGGCCCCCAGTGGATGGTCCAGCATAGCCCTCTCAGAAGGGGAAACTGAGGCCCAGAGAGGGAAAGGGGTTTGGCTAGGGTCCCACACATAGAGGCTGGGGCAGAACTAGAACCCAGGAGTCCTGGCACCCCGGGCTTCCACCCTAGCAGCAGGCCGCCGGCTCCATGTTCTGCTGTGCGCTTTTTCTGACCCGCCACGCACAGCGAGGGGTAGCCCCGGAAAGACTGGGGCTAGCCCGGTGGGCGGATGAAGCCCAGCCTGCCTATTTCCCTGCTCTCAATGGAGAGAGCCAGCAGGAAGCAGGAGTCCCCCCAGTCTACAGAGAGGGGTTGGAGAACAAATTGCCTGGTTATGCCATGGGAGGGGGCTGCAGGGAGCCAAGCAGCCAAGAGAGGGCCGAGGTGAGTGCTAGGAGCCAAGAGCTGGAGCCAGTCGGGGCTGCTTGGAGATGGGGAAGGTGAGGGTGGAACGGTGGCCTGGGCCGGATGCAGTGTTTGAACCCTCCTGGGCTGAGCAGACATGGCCTCCTCAGCAAGGTTCTCCTTCAGGCTCAGACCATAACAATAATGCTAAACATTTATTCTGTGGCAGGCTGTGTCCTAAGACTTATACACATATTAACTCACTTAATCCTCACAAGAACCCAATGAGGTAGGGACCATTATCACCTCCATTTTACAGATGAGAAAACTGAGGCACAGAGAGGTTGAGTGACCTGCCCAAAGTGATACAGGTGGAGTGTGGCCACACTGGGTTTGAGCACTCAGCCCTGCACTCTGACCCCTGCTGCTGCCATGGACCAGCCAGGCTGTGGCGTCACTGTCACTTGTGCTCCTGGCTCACACTGCTGTTGCCCCTGATGGGCTCAAGCCTCCTTGTGTGCTGGAGAAACCACAGCACGGATGCCCTGAGCCAGCTGTTCCTGAGGAAGGTGGTGATGGAAAGGTCACAGAGAAGGAAGACAGTGCCCCAGGTTCTAGGAGGATGGGGCATGACGCAGCATACGGACTCCGTCTGCCTCCTGGTCTGACTACAGGAGTTCTGTTGTGTGGGTCACACTGGTCCTCCAACACCCTTTCAGCAAATCGTGTCAACAGGCCAGCTGAAAGTTGCTGAAAAGGCTCCACTGCTAGAGAATGTGCTCGGGGCAGTGGCCCGCCTCGGCTCCTCTTGGCTTTGGCTCAGCCTGCATAAGCCTAATCAGGAACATACGCACTGCACTGGATTGATTCCGATGGTAAAAAGTACCTTCTGTTCAAGTAAAAATAATAACTGTCTCCTGGGCACCTATCACATTCTACGTCTCCTTCAGTCCTCCCAATATAGCTGGGAGGCAGGACCCACCAGCTCGTCTTACAGAGAAGGAAACAGTTTTGTAACTCACCCGTGGTCACTCAGACAGTAAGTGCTGGAGCTTGGGTTGGGCCAGGTCAGCCTCATTCCAAATCCCGCATTCTTGCCCAGCATTCCCTCCCATGCTTTAAGCACTACTGCTAAAAAGGGTTATTTACCTTCAGGAGAAAACAGTTCCCCCTGTGCCGTCTTACAGAGAAGGAAACAGTTTTGTAACTCACCCGTGGTCACCCAGACAGTAAGTGCTGGAGCTTGGGTTGGGCCAGGTCAGCCTCATTCCAAATCCTGCATTCTTGCCCAGCATTCCCTCCCGTGCTTTAAGCACTACTGCTAAAAAGGGTTATTTACCTTCAGGAGAAAACAGTTCCCCCTGTGGGTGCCTACATTGGCACCGGGATTCTGTGGCACCAGGAGTCTTGACTGAGCCCAGTGTCCTCCTACTTTTGCCCCCATCACCCAGCTGGCCGGGGCCATGCCTGCTGAGTCCTCACTAGACAGCAGGGGCACCGCCTTCACCTCCTCCTGGGAAGCCACCCTGATCTGGTGAGAGCAGGGGACAGGGGAGACAAAGGGTCCACTTGTCACTAAGGGGTAGAGTTCAAGTGGGCAGGCCCTTGGCAGCAGACAGGGATGGTGGGGAACATGTGGCTTTGCACTCAGCCAGGAAGGGCCCAGAATGAATGCTGCTAATGAGAACCAGCCTTGCCGCTCTCAGGGGCCACCTGCCTCCTCTCTTGGATCTTGAATAATGGTCCAAGCAAAGGGGGAACCATCCGGGCACTTTGCAGAGGATGGTTCACATTCCAGTAGAGTGGAGTGTCTCTCTCAGTGTGTTGACTTTTAAGGGAGCCCGATTAAAGGGAGGCTGAGACCCCAAGATGCTGGCCCAGCAGGCACTGGGTAGGTCATCTGCCAGGCTAGGACATGTCCCATCTCAAAGGGAGACCATTCTCTCTCTAAGCTCCCCAGCTTTTCTTCAGGAACCAGGAGGAGGTATCTGAATTTCCACCCCATGCCGAGTAGACACACCTGTTGAGGGTTTCTTTTTTAAATTTACTTATTTAGGTGGGGAGTGGTGGCTGGCCAGCACAGGGATCAAACCCTGGACCTTGATTTTTGTCAGCACCATGCTCTAACCAGCTGAGCTAACCAACCAACCCAAAGAGATTCTTCTTTTATTCATTCCATTAATATTTGTTAGGAACCCAGTGCATGCCAGGTGCTGGGTAGACAGTGGAAACTCTACTACAGCCTGCTTGCCCTTCCAGGCACACGATCTGGTGGGAGTGACCAGCAATCACATAAGCCATTACAATCAGACAGTAAGTGCTGAGACGGGACGGGCAGGGAGCTGTAGGGACACAGAGGAGGCATTGGACTTGGGGTTGGAGCAGGCAGGGAAGGCTTCTGGGAAGAAGGGGTAACTAAACTGCAATCAAGGACTTGCAGAGGTTACGCAGGTAATGAGGCCTGGGGAGGAGTGCCGAGCCCCTGAGGCCAGAGAGGCACCTATAAACTATTGAGGAACGGGGAAAGTTCTTTCTAGAGCAAAGCAAGCATGCGGGTGGTGAGAGGCAAGGCTGGTGGGGTAAGCAAGGGCCTGTGTGGGGACTTTATCCTCAGGGCAGTGGAGAGCCCTGGCTTGTGTGATGCCAAAGAGGGACATGATCAGATTTGTAGTTTAAAAAGGTCACTTGATCCTCCCTACAGGTGGGGACTAGTTGGAAGGCACTTCCATAACCATGGACTGGCCCGAAACAGAGTCAATGGGGCTGGGTGGGAGGGGTGTGCTGGTGAGATATTTTGGAGGTGAAATTGATGGGATTCAGGGATGATAAAATAGGGATTGAGGGAGAAGAGGGAGTTCAAGATGACTCCACATTCCTGACTTGGGTCATGGAGTGGATGGTGGTGCCCTTGCCCAGGACGAGCAGATGTCACCAGGGGAGATAAGTTTAATGTGAGCGTGATGAATTTGAGGTGTCTTCATAAGGTCCAAGGGGGACTCTCCATCTGTGCTGGAGTGTCCGGCATGGTGTGCAGGAGCTAGCCTGGATGACTCACAAGAGTGGACAGTGCATACCTCTCTCCACTATGCTCAGTGACCTCACATTGGAAGCTTGAAATCAGCCATGGTGGGAGCATTTACACCACAGACATTGGCAAATGCTGTACAGAGCAGGGCTCTCGTCTCCACCCTCCCCACCCAGCCAGTGATTAAACACTCAGAAGCACCAAGACTTGTGGCTCAGGACAGACCTGGAGTGAGCGAGTCAGAATGAAGCAGGCTATGGGCAGGTGCATGACTGGCCCTCTACTGGGATCAAGTAGGAAGGAAGGAGACTTCCTGGTAGGCACTTTCCAACCAGAACCTTCTGCCCGTCTATGTCGCTTTACCCTGCACAAGGCACAAGTTGCAGGTAGGAGGAAGACAGGGAGGTATGGACGTGGAGATGCACTTTCAGAAAGTGGGGACCACTTGGCTCCCTTTCCACCCTGGCCTTGGACAAAGGGAGGAGATTTCAGTGATAAACATAAAGCTCATATCCCTTGCTCTTGTATAGAACAATGTAGCTGTAACATTCATCTATAAATTAATCTACAAATAAATCTGTTATCTATAAATTTAGTAAATTTAATGTGCTCCTAATCCCAGTGAATTTTTAAGGCGTTGACAGTCCAAAAAGTATTAGATTTTATTTGGAAAAAAATAAGCTTGTGAGAATGTCAGGAAAATTCTGAAAAATAGAGTAAGTGGGACAGGGGACTAGTTGTCCCACTAGATATCAAAATGTATTGTAAAACAGAGCAATAAAAACAAACAGATGAATACAGCAGAGTAGGAGGCCAGAAATAAAGCCAAATGCATGTGGAATTTGGTACATGATAAAGACTTCATTTCCCAGTGGGAAGAGGATAGATGTTCAGGAAATGATGCTGGGACAACTGACAAGCCATTTAGAAAAAGAGAAAGTGAAAAAACATTGTTTAAAAAATAGCTGAATCTCTACCTCCCGATTATATCAGAATAAATTCCAAATAAATAAAATACTTAGATATAAAACATTAAACTATAAAATACAAGGACAAATCATGAGTGAATATTTTAGCGTTCTGAACTAGGGAAGGCCCTCTTCAAACATGACATAAAACCCAAAAGCCATAGGAAAATATTAATGTTTGTCTACATAAACGTAGAACTTCTACATGGTAGAAAATATACCATAAACAAAATCAAAGACAATGCCAAACTGGAAAGAATATTTGCAACACATATGACTATCAAAGAGTTCTTGTTACTCAAATCACTAAGAAAAAGACAAACCACCTAGCAGAAAATCTTGGTAAAGAGTAGAAACAGGCAGTTCACAAATAAATAGGACCAGCCAATAAACATTGGAAGAGATGTCTAACCTCAGCACATAATTGAAGAGATGTAAATTAAAGTCCAGTTCCAAGTCTCCCCAAGTGCCTTCCCTAGGCCCAACCTCTCTTGGAAGTAGCGTCCTGGTTTCCATTTAGTCAGTTGACAACATTCTTCCCAAGATCCCTGAAAAAGCCCTGGTTAGCCCTGGATTTGGCGTGGGTTGGAGAGATGCATCCTGTTACCAGGGCAGGCTCTGTAATTAGCAAACTGTGTGATTATCCCTACCACGTAAACGTTATCCGGAGTGGGACTTGAAGGAAGATGTTTCTTGGAACCCTCTCCTCCTGACCTTTTCTTCTACCAGGGCAGGCTCTGTAATTAGCAAACTGTGTGATTATCCCTACCACGTAAACATTATCCGGAGTGGGACTTGAAGGAAGATGTTTCTTGGAACCCTCTCCTCCTGACCTTTTCTTCAGGCCTCTCAGTGTTCAGAGTAAGTTTACGGAAAGTTTACACTGGGAGTTTTCAGAGATTACATTGCACAGTTTCCGGGTTTTCTCCTTAGTGCTATTCTTTAGCATCACTTACCCTTGAGAGGAGAGAAGACAGGGCCCCTTCTGATATATGAGTGGCATCTCCTCCCCCTGGCCCTTTTGGGTGGCTGCCACAAGCCCATCCTGAGCCTGCAGCAGACTTCAGCTCGCTCCCCGCTGGACCAGCCACCCACCCAGAGGGGCTGATGTGTTCCCTGAGCACAGGCCACTTTAGCACTCGTGTCCAAGGCTTCAAGGAGGGTCAGAGAAGCCTGGAGGTGTTTCAGAGTCATAGCAATGGATCCAGAGAAATTTTCTGGATAGGATCTGATTCTGGAGCTACTGCTTGACCAGGACAAACCTTCATTGATCCTGAGACATATTGGGCTCAAAAGCAACCTTGCTTTATTCTGGTGCTTCTCTGTTCAGTTCAGCAAATACCTGATGATGGCTGCTACCATTTCAACAGGCTTTACAAACATAATTAAATGTAATTCAATGGCCCTTTGAGGTTATACTGTTATCCTCGTTCTACAGATGAGGAAACTGAGGCTCAGAGAGGTTAGGTAGCTTGCTCAGAGTCACACAGCCATTGTTGGTGGAGGCAGGATTAGAACTCAGCCTGGCAGACTCAAAAGTCCATGTTTGGGAAGAGATTGTAGCCATCTCAGCCAAGGGAGACCCCAAGCTGACAGCTGGACATGTGTGTCCGGGGAAAGGCAGGTGAGACAGTGTGCCTGAGCAGAGAGTGCATGGAAAGATGAAGCAGGAAAGTAAGCTCACATGGTTGACCAGAACGAGACTGAGGATGGCCTTGAATGACATGTGAGTAGAAAGGAGCCGCTGCCGGTTCTTGGGAAGGGGAGTGATGTGACCCTCTGTTCTGAGCTCTCCACTGCCCTTGACCTCCTGAGACTGAGGATGGCCTTGAATGACATGTGAGTAGAAAGGAGCCGCTGCTGGTTCTTGGGAAGGGGAGTGATGTGACCCTCTGTTCTGAGCTCTCCACTGCCCTTGACCTCCTGACCAGCCCTCTCCCATGGTGGGTCTTCTCAAGTCTCTGCTTCTAACCTCAGCACATCTCTTTGGTCCTGAATCCTGACCGTAAGCCAGGGCCATGATCAGTGACCCTGCTTCTAGTCTCCAGCCTGAATATCTATCTGCATTGCACTCTGTACCTACAGGAAAATGGGCATGGATTGCTCTGAATTCTTCAAAGATTGAGAGATCCAGAGATTGCCCAACTGCTGGAGAGGCTCGCTGGCCAGGGTGAGAGGACAGTGAGCAATCTGACCTATTCTGGCCTGAAAACACACATTCTGAAGGTCAAGTTCTGCTATCCAAATAATCCTTAGATTAAGTGGCCATGAGCAATGACTGGGTAAATAAAAAAGGACTTAGAGGATTTCAGTCCAGGGGTTCAGTGTGCTGCTGGCTGAGTCCCGCTGTCCTTGTTCTTCCGTCTGTCTGTTTATATGTCGAGCAGCAGCCGTGAGGAGCTGTCCAGGGGCTACTTCCTAGAGGTAGACCGAAAGGATGCTGGCACCTCCTTTTTCCTTTCCCCACCTCCAGCCTCTGAAGATGTCCTGGGATGTTCCATCCTCCCTCCAGCCAGCTCACCATGGAGAGTGTCCCCACAGATGGTCACACAGGAGAGGGAGGGGTGGGAGCAAAGGTGAGCCAGGGGACCGGGGATTAGATCCGTCTACTCCTCGCTCATCCTCCTCCTCTCCTGTTCTTTTCAGGGTCAGCCGGGCACCCGAGGCTTTCCTGGATTTCCGGTAAGTGGGGAGGGCTGAGGCTAGCTGTGACCCAGGTGGACCCCTACTTGGGTCATCTGAGGTTAACCCCTGCAAAGGTTAACTTCCTTTCCAAACCCTGGTCATTTAGGATGCCCATCTGCAGGCTCTCTTGGACACCAACCCAGGAGAGTGGCTCGCAGTGCAAGGAAGGGCAGGAAAATAATGGCACAAGTAAAGAGGCAGCAGGGCAGGAATCAGGCGAGTGATAAACCCCAGCGTGACACCAGAATGTGGAAGAGAGCATGCACTGCAGGGAAGCAGCCTGGGGCTCAGGCCCTGACCTGGCTTTGAGAGGAAGGTGATCCACCCCCGAGGAAGGAGTGGGGTGGCCCTCTGGGTGGCCTTTGACCCTCTGCCTATGTGGCCTAAGACACCTTCTCAGAGGTAGGGCAGGGGGAGCAGTCAGTTCCCCTTTTCTCTGGGCCTCAAAGCTGGCCACCCCCTGGGTGCTGGGAGCACACTGTCTGCCCTCCACCTGGGGGAGGAGGAGGCCTTTGATTGCAGTGGTGATGCCTGCCACCCATTGGGTTTCCCCATGCCAAGCATCTGGCATGTGGCATCTTATTTCCTCCTCAAAGGACCCTTCATGGAAGGTTCTGTGATTCTCAGCCCCACATTAGGATGGGAAATTGAGGCTCAGGTTTACCCGTGGTCATGTAACAAGTGAGTGGGCAGGCAGGACTTGCACCCGAACTTGCAGGAACCCAGAGCCTGTGCTCCCAGCAACTGCCCCAGGCAGCCCCTTTGGCTAGAGCCTGTGATGCTTGGTCTTTACGTCTGGCCTTTCTGGTTTCAGGGTCCGATTGGACTAGACGGCAAACCGGTAAGTGGACCCTCTCCCAGCTGCGGGTGCTTCCCCCTCACTAGGTCCAGGTCACTAACCCTGGGTCTATTGATCTTTCCACAAGACCCTGACTCTTTGGAAGATGCGTCAGATAGAAAATTCCTGGAGGGGAAGGTTGTCACTAGTGGAAAGGGGAAGAGGCTATTTGAATGGGTCACCCTTGACCACCGTGGGCTTCCCCAGTGGGCTAACCCAGCTGGGGTCTCGGCATCTGGAGCAGGAGCCATCGCTGGGATTTGGCAATACTGGGCTGCTCCTGGAAGGGGTCTGGGTAGGAGTTGGAGAGCTCAGCTGGCTAATCCTAAGCAGAGCCTGGGCCCTGGCTCACCGCTCGCCCTCACTCCCAGCACTACCAGGGCGCCTCCTGTGTCCTCTCTGTCCATTTTAATCCTTTGCACTTGGTCCCATGACACAAATGTCTGTGGGGAAAGGAGATCCCGAGTAAGCTGGTGGCTGGAAGAGAGCTTGACCTCTCCAAAGCCCTTAGAGATCCCACCCCCAAGGGGAGGCATTGAGTGGATGTAATGTGGCGTCAACAACCAGGCCCAGCCCACCCACTCACCTCTCAGATGAGGGGCCCAGCCACCTGCCTGGCTACTTCCCACCACAGGCCAAGAGGTCAGTGCAGCCTGGGGGCCCTGGGGTCATGTCCACTCATCCCACAGGACCAGACATCCCTTGAAGCCATCCTGGTTGAGGGCTGGGGTCCAGGGAGACTACAACCCACCCCCTGCTCTCCCCTGAAGGACAGGCAGCTGCTAGTAAGGCCCAGCAAATGGCCATAGGCGAGACCCTGCCTGAGTCAGTGGGTTAGGGACCAAGTGGGTGAGTGAGAGCATGGCCACGTGAGAGGCATGACATGTGCAAGTTGAGTTTGGTGACTGGGCAGGCTGCGAGTGGCAAGCAGGGGTGGTGGCTTCTGGTTGCAGACAGTGTACCTGGCACTCACACTCTTCTCCTTCTAGGGCAACCCAGGACCAAAAGGGGAGATGGTAAGATTTCCTGCCCTCTCCAGATGGGTGGGGGTGGGCGTGGGCTCACGGCCGCAGCCAAGCACTATGTATGAAGGGGGCCCAACAGGGACAGCAGAGTGGCTGCCCTCAGGGTCACTCCCTAGTGAGTACAACCACACACTCAAAATGTCACGTCAGCGCAGGGAGGAGAGGCAACAGGGCTTCTCCACCTGAAACACGAGGAAGGGAGGTGCAGAAGGAGCTCCCACGTGGCGGGTGTGGCAGGGAGGTCAGCAGCTATCTCAGGGGGCCTTGGAAGCACTCTCACTGGGCCACTTCGCCTGACTCCTGCAGGGCCTTGTACCCTTTCCCGGTGCCATCTCTGCCCTGAGCTGCCCCAGGACTCCAGAGACTCCTGCCCCAACTGGGCACAGAGGAGAAGCAGACCTCTGCACTTTTCTCCTGGCTCCTTCCACCTTCTGTAGCACTTTTGAAAGGAATGTCCTCTCTCCACAGGCCACCCCTTCCAGAAGAAAATCAGGGGCTGTCCACTCCCGGTTGAGGGGAGGGCTAGTTCTCAGCAGGGACTCAGAGGCCATTTACAGCAAATGGGCCAGCTCTTGGCTGGGATGTGTTCCAGCCTCCCAAGTACCTGGTCACACCTACGTCATGAGGGGACCGCCTCCTGCTCCACAGGGCTGGGGCCTGGAATTTGTGCTGGTGGTTGGAGCAATATGGCAGGCTCCCCTGTCCCTGTCCAGCTGGGGTCTGGTTGGTGCCTTCTCCAGGTGATGGTGTGAAGACACTCTTAACCCATGACGAGGGCACTGCTGGAACACTGAGGGAGGTGGATCACCTTGTGAATGGAAAAGGAGGCAGAGTAGTGCCAGCGGGGAGACGTGGGCTTCAGCCTGTGCTCTAGACTCAGATCAACTAATGGTCATTGAGGGTTTGCTACATGGTGGGCACTGGACTAAATACGTTACATGTATTATCTCACTGAATCCTTGGCGTAATCCTGTGCTCCAGGTCCTATTTGTATCCTCTTTGACAGCTGTGGAAACTGAGGCTCACAGAGTCAGAGTAACTTGCCTGAAGTCACATAGCGAGGGAGCGTCCAAAACAAGATCCAAACCCACTTCTCACATTCCTTTCTTCCACTTGCTGTTGCTTTCCTCCTTCTGGTTTTCCTCTCCTTCCCTGCCTTCCTGCCTCCTTCCTTCCTCTAATGCATTTTATTGAGTGTCTGTCATGTGTGGGACACTGCATCGGGTGCAAGGGAGACACTATCTTTGCCATCCTGTAGCTCACAGTCTAGCAGGGAAGATCTACGTTTAAATTATCGCTCATGTAATTAACAAATTGTCTTTGAAAAGGCAATCCCTGGTACCCTGAGAAACCTCACCTGAGAGAGACTTTCAAACGAGGGCCTGAAGGATGGAGATTTAACCAAGAGAAAATAGAGAAGGGGGTGGGAAGGAGCATTCTGGACATGGGGAAGCAGCATGTGCAAAGGCCCTGAGGCAGGAAAGTGCTCGAAACTGCCAAAGAACTGGAGGAAGGGCAGTGAGGCACCAGAGGCAGACTTGCAGAGCTGGTGCTGGAACCCGGTCCCCCAGCGAGCTTTCCTCTCATCACAGCTACCTCTGCTGCATGTGCATTTCTTGCTGCCCCTGGGCTGTGCACATGCATGAAGTTAAGGAGAACGAGGCAGGAATAAACTCCTATGCTGCCATTGTTATAAGGGGAGTGGATGTCAGGAGTTTAGGGTGCTTATCCCTTCAGCCCTCTTCCCCCACCTTCTTCCCCTTCCTGGCAGCCTGACACCCCCATAAGGTAGCCCATGGCACCCTGAAGTAGTAATAACGGTCATCCACTAGGCACTGTTCTGTAACCCTCGCAACAGTTTATTATCCCCACTTTATGAAGGTGGAAATTGAGGCACAGAGTGGCTAGTTATGTTACCTGGAGCCACACAGCTCCCAAATACCAGAGCTGAGATGTGGCGAGGTCCTACCTTTCAGCTGTGCCTCCGCTCTGCTGTGAGCGTCCTATGTCTTGAAGGAAAGGAACTTTCTGCAGGACTTCCTGCCCTCACTCTGCCCACACTATCCCTCTGCCCCACCCTGCTTGACCCCCCACAAGATTTTCCTGTCTGTTCGGGGCTCAGAGCTAACTGGAGGGAAGGGCAGGGCCATCCCATCACCCGTGAGCCCAAGTCAGTGTGATAGGTCTCCTGTTTGCCTCATCGTCATCCGTCAACATCCGGTAGGCCACAGAGCCAATAGACTCCTGTTTGGCTTGTCACCAGGCCCCAGAGCTATTAATCTGCCACTGCTATCTAGCATAACTACCTGGGCCTGCTGAATGATGAATATCTGTCCGTCTCCCACTCGGCCCCCTCCCCAGATGGTGTCCCCTACACTGGGCTTCACCCTCACCTGCTGAATCTGTGTCCTCACCTGTCAAAAGGGGGTCATCTCTGCCCCATGCACCTCACAGAAGCCCCGAAAACCTGAAATAAGGTATTACGAGGACATAGTTGTACAACTGTACAGTCAAGGGGTTAGACAAGATCAGGGGTCCCAGACTCAGGAGTGATTCAAAGGCTGTAAAGCAGAGTTTGGACCTGGGATTTAAATCCAACCCCACCACCCACAGGGCTGTCATGAGGCCGAGAGGACTTAATTCACGCCAAGCATTTAGAATGGTGCTTGGCGCACAGGAAGCAGGACAGGCGCCATAGCTGTCGTTGCGGTGATGGCGAGCGCTGAGCATGTCACCCACAGCCATGACTCCTCAAGGAACAGGCGCTGCCCAGCTAGAGCTAATCGGTGCCATGTGTCGTTGGGTCTCAAAATATTTAAGAGAAACATGAAATCCAGATTTTTATTTGTACTCTCTTTACTTTTAAGTGTTCACAACTAATTGAAATAAAACTGTGTGGGACAAAGAGAATACCTGTGGAGACCACGATTGTCCCATGGCCACCATTTGAGACTCAGTCCTTTGTATCTCTACAGTCCTAAACTGTATGTCATTTTTCTCGGCCCCTGCCCCCCACCCCCATCACATTCCTCTCTGTCCTGAGAGTGGGTGGCCTGGTCACCTACGGTCTGGCCCTGGTTCCCTGCCAGATGAATCACGTACTGCTGAACTTGATGTTCAACACTTGGTCAGCCAGATGGGCTGGGGGTGACCCACAGATCATCCCAAAGGCCACTTCTCCCCTCCCGATGCACCTCCTGGGAGTTTCCCGGTTGGAGGTTGGTCCAGTTGGCACGTCAGGAGCAGAAGAAAGGCTCCTCTCCCACATCTAGGCATCCTGAGGACCGCCCACCCAAATGGAACTGTCCACGGGGACCCTGAGCTCTTCAGGCCCCAAAGAGGCTGGTCCAGCAGGTAGGTCCCCGCAGGCCCCCAGGATGGTGGCTGCAAGGGACCTCAGGGGCCCGGGGCAGGGGCACCGTTTGTGGTTCTGGCTGAGACTAGAAGCCCTGGTCCCAGGTCCAGCCCAGTGCAGGGAGCGTGCTGGAGTGGAAACAGCTGGCCCTTCGTGTCAGACAAGCCTGGTGCCTGTCCTGTCCTGCCATTCACTGAGCCGCAGGGCCTTGTGCAACACCTCAACTAGGAGGTGGAGCTGACTCAAGCCCTTTCCTCCGGGCCGGTGCGAGGCATGAGCTGAGCATGGGCCTGAGTGGCCTGCCCCAGAGGGCGCTAAACACGTGATGCCTTCATCCTTCCCTCTTTCCTCCACGCCAGCCTCCTGCAGGCTCCTTGGAGCCAGCTGGACACTGGGTCCTCCTCGGAGAACAAGGGTCTGCCTGACTCCGGCTCCTTTCTCAGCCCTGAAAACTTGACAAGACAACCTTGAAGGATACCCCAAGACCCCATATGTTTCTCTGAGGAGCCTGAACATGGCTTAAGTTGCCGACTTCCTGTTTTCTCTATTTTGCTAAAGATTTCTCCAAAACTCCCAGTGTCTGCAGCACTGGCTGGTCCCCCCGTGTCCCAGAAGCACTTCTGGTTCCGTGGGTTTCACTGAGGACTGGGAGGTTCAAAGGTAGAATACTTCCTGTTTTCTCTATTTTGCTAAAGATTTCTCCAAAACTCCCAGTGTCTGCAGCACTGGCTGGTCCCCCCATGTCCCAGAAGCACTTCTGGTTCCGTGGGTTTCACTGAGGACTGGGAGGTTCAAAGGTAGAATGTGCCAGTGTCTCCTGGAGGCTCAGGGTGTGTGAGGCAGGGTGTCCCCTCGTGACAGAACGCCACTTGACTGGGGGCAGCTGCCGACATAGCGGGCCCATGACACGGTGGCGGCTGGAGGAATGAGTGAAAGGTGGCATCTGTTCCTGGCTGTGACCATGGACAGGTGAAGAAGCTGAGACCTGGTGTACAAGGCCACACCACCTTGACCATCTCAGGCATGGGAAGACCTGGCCATGACTGGCAAGGCCCAGCCTTCAGGATGCGGGGGCGTTCTGGAAAGTCCCTGGAAGCCCCAGCGTCTCTCCCGATTCCCTGCAGCCGTGTGTCTCTGATCTGCCCCCTGACCTGTGTGTGTTTCTTTCCACAGGGTCTGACGGGTCCCCGAGGACAGCCGGTTGGTACCTTGTCTTACTATTCCCCAGCAGAGAGGCTTCAGGCTGCTGTGTCCCTAGCTTTGGTTTCTAACTCTCTCGTTTCTGTCTCTTCGTAGGGACCTCAAGGACAAAAAGGAGAAAAGGTAAGCACGATGACACTTCCTGGAACCTGCCTCTCAGGAAGCAGCCTCCCGACAGTTTGAAAGGGTCCGTAGTGGTTATTTTAAAATTTTCGTTATCGACAGAACCAGGAAAGCCCCTAGGTGCCTGGTATACAGGAGAGATACAGGCGATGCTGCTCTGGGTGACAGTCCCTTGAGGCGAGACGTCCTGGGGGCAGCCTGGCCCTCTTCAGCCTTTCTCAGCCCCTCCTGCCTGCCACCCCCACAGCGTTTCCTGACCCACCTTCGTGAGCCTCCAGTGTTCTGAGGTGTCAGTTTGTAAACCACTGGCCTGGCCTCCTGCCTTCTCTGTCTTGTTGAATTTCAGACGGAGACTCGGCTGGGCTTGCCCCGGTGCAGGGCCTGGCACTCCCGGCTCAGAGGAGGTGTCTCCCAGGGCCCATTGTTCACAACGTACTGTGCTGCCTGCTGTTCCCATCTGGGGGCTCTCTTGAGGGCTGTTGGGTGGGTCCATCCCCCCGCCAGGTTCCTGCTCTGCCGTTATGGCAAGCGGTGTATGGTAGAGTCCTGCCCCAGGCTCCACGGGGCCACTTCCAGGCAGGCCCTGGGGGTTTCTTCCCTGCTGCCAGCCAGGGGCAAGGGAGGGAATCAGTTCTCCTGCTTCAGAGGGCTCAGACCAGGATCAGAGCGTAGGGCTGGTGGGTGATGAGATGCATGGCATATTCAAAAGTCCTGGGGGTGCCCCTGAGGGACAAGTCCCCCAACAAGTGCCTAACACCGTCTCTCCTTTCCTCCCATCCCCAGGGTCAGTGTGGAGAATACCCGCACCGGGTAAGTGAACCGCTAAGACTGAGCAGGGCCCATTCATCCATCCCTGGCATATCCCCCAGCTCAGCCTCACTTTCCTGGGGTCTCCAGCACCTACTAGAGCTTGGGGAGCAGGAGCATACAGTCCCTCTGCACTCAGCGACAGGAGAGGTGGCATGGGGTGGCCGTGGGTCTGGCAGGCACAGCTGACTGTGCCCTGTGGATTGATGTGTCCATCTGCCCCAGTGGCTGGCCCATGTGCCTGGAACCCTGTCTCCTGTGCACTTGGCCCTCTATGGTGGGCCATGTGGCTTGTGTGAATCTGTGTGTGGGCTCCCTGCCATCCAGTATGTGTGTGCGACTGTGTGTGAATGTCTGGCGGCCTGCCCTGCGGAATACAAGGGACTTTGGGGTTAGCCATTGTTTCAGATGACCCAAACCTCTCTGAGGCGAGACCTTCAGGGGCTGACTGTATTAATTCAGGATGACGTCTCTACTTTGCCTCTTTAAGAACAGAGGAAACCCTTTTCCAAGCAGGGTGGGGGATTTCAGGGCTGAGATGGTTCCTCCCCCCACCCCCACCTGGCTCTTTTCTTTTCCTTGCTCCACCCCATGATACAGAACCTAAAAGACTGATGTCATCCTGTTAGGAATCTCCAAACATGGGCACTGATAGCAGGGGTTATGCTTGGGACAGGGGAGGGCAAAGATGTGCACTGCTTCCTCTAGCGAGGGCCCCAGTAAGTTGGAACCAGGAAAGTGCCCCTCATTTTGAGGATCAGCCTTATTGCTCTCAGACCTGGGCATCAGGGATAGGGAGTATGGGCATCTCTAGGTGTCCACCCCTCTGTCATGGGCCTCACTGTGCTCAGGAACACACGGTGGGGCTCCCCTGGCTGCCCGCCCTTGCCTGCCAGGTGGGTGCTGGTGGAAACAGACACAAACCAGGCTCAGAGTGGACCTGCCTCTGGAAGGCTGCTGGGAGGGACTTGCTAGCAGGGTCAGGCCTCTGCCCAGCTGCTCAGGAGACTGGAAGCCATGGCAGATTCTGACCTCTGGCTTCCTGGGCCAGGGAGAGGCCACAGTGGGGCTGGAACGTGAGAGGCTGGGATGGGTTTGAGGCCAAGGCAGGGCTGGGGCCAGGCTGGGGGACGTGGCTCAGCAGCAACACAGACAGAGCCAGCCTGTCAGTGGCATGTGCTCCAGGGAGGCAGGGGCCCTGGTGTTCCGGCCAGCCTGATCCTGATACAATAATAGAAGGTCAGCTGTGTTTATTTGAAACGATGGGCTCACAGGATTGTTATGTTACCCGAAAGAAAGACAGCATCCCCCAGCACAAAAGACAACACAACTGCAGACGCTCTGGCAGGATGTCATTGGTCCTGAGTGAGCACTTGGGAGTGAGGGCAGGAGAGGGCTTTCTGCCCTCTATCCAACACAAGAAGAGGGAAGGGGGCAGTGATAGAAATTTCCAGAAGCACCCTGGCCAGGGGGGGCAGAGAAGCATGATGTTATTGTCAGTCTATGGAATAAGTCAGGTAGGGGTGAAAGAGGGTTTGGGGACCCAGCTGCAGGGCACGGCAAGTTTATTTAGAGAAGAGTGGGAAAGCAGGGGGCTTCTAGTGGTCTGCTGGCTTTCCAAGGGGTCTGCAGGCATGGTGGGGGTGGCAGGTCTCCAGGCCCAGAAGACACCAAGAGTTCAGGCTGATCCTGCCTCTGTTCCAGCCTGTAGCTTCCCCAGGGAGGGAGGGAGGGAGGGAGATGAGGGGGTGGGGTGAGTGCCAGATGGAGGGAGGGGAGGTAGGAGGGCTGGTGTGTGTGGGCTGTCCCCTCACACTCCCCCTGTTACCCTGTCTCTGCCACCTTCGTTCCCCCTCCCAAACCAGGAGTACTTAAGCGGCACACTAGCAGCTCTACGCTCCAACCAGATAATTACCCTGAAGGTTTGTAGGTTCTGGAAGGTCTCTGGGCCCCTCTCTGCTGAGAGACTTCCTGGACACAGAGCCCAACATTGCACACGCCTAGGCCCCGGTGGGGAGGGAGGCTCTGTGTGCGGCAGCTGCCCACGAAGGTGAAGGCGGCAGTGATGACCCGGAAAGGCCGTGGTTGGGCTCCCACGTCCCCAGGGAGGTGCATTTGCAGCCCAGGCAGCCCCCAGGTTCTCAGTGTTCATCCCTGGGGCCTTGTGTGAGTTAAAGTGCTTTTGAAAACAAGTGGTTTGGTTCTATGCCATCTTGGTTGTCACATGGGTTCTAACTGCTCCCTCAAGCCACGGGTTGCTCAGCTTCAATGGTAGAGGGACTGGAAGAAGCAAGAGTTTCCAGAAATGAAAATCACATTAGATAATGTGATTGCATGTTGCCTCCCCTAAAAAAGTGGTTGAACATTCCGGAGACATCTCTGCCCAGCCTCTGTTTTCCGAGCCCTCCAGCCCCGGGGTGAGACCTCAGGAGCACTTAGCGTGTACCCACACGGGCCACACCCTCGGCCAGCTCAGCCCCCGGGAGCCGGGCTTGGAACTGCCCTTGACCATCCTCCCCAGATTCGCTGACACCAGCCTTTCTCGTTCCACCAAAAAAAGAACCCAAAGGTGGCCGCACACCAGCCTAGCTTCAAGTACCAATTTAGCTGGTCCTGCGGCTCCCTGGTCAGAGTCTGCGAGTCTGCTGCCCTCGGCCAGCAACCTCTGTCCACATGCAGGGACGGGCAGGGCTGGCGGTGCAATGATGGGCCACGTGTCTGGCGCCTCTGCAGCCCTGCTTGGCCACTGAGGGCCAGCCCGGTGCAGAGGGCCACTCTCCCAGTCTGGGGGGCTGACGGCCACCCCCCCGAGCTCCAGCCTGGAGGTGAGGCAGGGTGTGGACTGATGGGTGGCTGTGCCATCCCAGGGCAAGCTCGGTGCATGTCCCACAAGCCGTGAGAGTGCCCTGTCCATGCTGCCCCTCCCTGGACCTCATGCTCATGCTAATCTCTCTTCTCTTTTCCTCTCCTCCCCTCCCTCTTGGCCACCCTTCCTTCCTGGCGACTTTGGCATCGTTCTGAATACCTGCGATCTTTGGCCTTTGCCTTCTGGCCTTCCAACTCATCTTTCTCCTCAGCTGCTGCCTCTCCTCAATTCAGTGCGACTGGCTCCACCGCCAGTCATAAAAAGGCGGACCTTCCAGGTAGACACCTTCTGTGTGCCAAGACCACCCGTGGCTTCCCTGAGGGGCTCAGCAAGTCTTTGGGCCTGACAGGCCAGCTGTGGCTATAGACGAAGCCAGAACGTCACTCTAGACAAAATGGGCCTATGAATACCATAGATGTGGAAATACATGACGCATAGGCCCCAGGAGACCTACAACTACTACCATGCCATTACTACTCATAACAGCCAGCGACAACAGCTGTCACTGTGTACCACGCACTGTTACCCATTTTACAGGCCTGACTTTAGTTCTTTCACCAGTTTTATGAATTAGGCATGATCATCCTTATTTTACAGATGAGGAAACCAAGGTTCAGAGAGGTTTAGTAAGTTACCCAAGGTCACACAGCCAGTAAATTGCAGAAGAGGGATTTGCACCCAGGTTTTCTGCCTGACACTAGTTGTGTGATTTGGGTGAGTTACTTGACCTCTCTGTGCCTCAGCTTTCCCATCTGTAAAGTAATAACAGTCTGCTTCACAGAGTTGTCGTGTATGTAAAGCACGTGGAATATTTCCTGGCACAGTTTAAGTGCTATAATTAACGTTAGCTGTCAGTATTACTATTATTCATATTTTGGAGACAAGGAATTTGAGGCTCAGAGAAGTGAATTGATTTGCTCAAGTTCGCACAAACAGCAAGAGGCAAAATTGGAATTGGCAGCCAGGACTTCAGAGCCCACATTCAGAGTTCTCTTCATGGACCTATATATTTTATACTTAGAAAATGCAGATTTCTTAGCATCTGATCACTTGTAACCTGAGTTTGAGGAGAGAGGGATTTGCAAAGGGAATGTAGTCCACAACGAACAGGTGTAATCGTTGCAAGCAACTGTTTCCTTCTTCCTGCCTTTAACCCAAGGAGGCTGGGGTAGGAGCTGATCACAAAGAACAAGGCAGTCTTGCCGCTGCTCTCCAAGATATCACTACTCTATTCCAGACCAGAGGACCCGTGGCCTCCCCCAGCACCACCACCACCTCACGTCCCTCGCCTTCCTTACACTGTACAGGGTGTGGCCCAAAGGTACAGGGAAGCTGGGAGCTGCGAGCTGCTCTCTGAAAGCCTGACAGCAGGGCCTTGAGCCATCCTCTGGCCTGACTCAGGAGTCAGGAGCTCAGGGGCCTGGATGTTCAGGCACCTGATTGAACAAGGCTGAAAAATCACTCCAATTAACTGCTAAAAATACAGAGGGACAGGTGACACGCAAGCTACTGGAGCCTGAAGGCTGAATATCACATTACACCGGCCAAATCCTCGAGAGCCTCTGCTGCTCTGAGCACTTACCCAAGCATGGCTACTCAGGAGACCCACCCCACTGTCACTTACCCCTGCTGTGCCAGACTCCATTCCAGGAGAGCTGAGCCTGTGCTCTCAGAGCAGCCATTCTCCTGGACCCCAGCAGCCACCTCACAGCCTTGGTTGTATTCACTGCTCTTTGTTGAGCCCTCGCTGGGCTCCAGGCACTACTGAGAGAATTCTGTGTGGATTATCTCATGTGATCCCCACACCAGCTACCCGGTGGTGGTGGGAACATTATCATCCCACTTTGCAGAGGAAGAAATTGAGAGAGGTACGGGAGTCCATCCAGGCAGCTGCATGGTACTGCCTCCTTCTTCAAAAGCATGGGGTGGTTAAGCCAGAACTTTCTGTGCTGACCTGACCTGGTTTCCAAGGTAGAGAAAGAAGACTACGGGCTCCTAGTCTGCCTGCTGCAGATTCTGCCTGGAGAATAAGGTTTTTAGCTGTCAGCCATCATGGGACATAGAAAGGCTTGTCCATTTCCTATCAATAAACCAATATTGATTTTACAGGCTCAATAAGGTGCATGAACATGGGTCTAAGATTGGTTGAAAGAGGAAACTTTATGCGAGATATGATGTGCTTAGCAGATGATATTGGAGGTCACTTCCAAAGTGCAGAAAGTTGGACGGGGAGCCCTTTTTGCTGGGGGCTTATTTGGAATGAATGGGAAAAAAGTTTGAGTCCTAGCACCATGCTGAATTGCCAATGTGACCTTGGTCAGTGAGATCAACTTCTCTGAGCCTCAGTTTTCTCTTCTGTAAAATGGGACTTGTAACATTGGGAAGATTCTAGAATTTCACAGTCAGAGGACCTCAGGGGTTTGTTTCAGACCAAGCCTTCCTTGCCTTTGAATTATCCTTCTCCAAAACTCTGGAAATGCTGTGAAGAATAGAAAGCAGGACACCAACAGAAAGGACTCTGAGGATACTCAGAGGACTCAAGGGACTTAATCAGATCTAGTCTGGTTGAACAGGAGGCCACACTGGTCCTTTCTTGAAGCCTGAGGTTTAGTTAAGTCTTTCTTCGTCCAGGAGAGACTGTGCCACCTGGAGACTTATCAACAACCAACATGCAGCTGGGTGGGGGCTGAAGGCAGGGTGACCACCAAAGCCATTTCTGTACCTGCCTCCTCTGCCACAGACACCCTGAATCCTAAAGTGGCTTCTCAGAGGGTGTGGCAGGACGAGGCCCAGGCCCCAGGGTATGCTGCTGGGTACCATCTACCTAGGACATTCCAGCTGAGAGGGTGCAAGCAGGTATTGCTGAAATCTTCCGTTTCTCATTCCCAGGTTGTGCACTTCTGTTTGTAATCCCCACTTCCCTCCTTAGAGTTTGCGGCAAGTGTCATCAGCTTCCTGCTGCACACAGGGAAGCAGGAGACCCCGAGTGTCATGGGGCTTGTTGAGGTCACAACAAGAACGGTGGGCTGCTGTTTGTAATCCCCACTTCCCTCCTTAGAGTTTGCGGCAAGTGTCATCAGCTTCCTGCTGCACACGGGGAAGCAGGAGACCCCGAGTGTCATGGGGCTTGTTGAGGTCACAACAAGAACGGTGGGCTGGCCTAGAACTCAGGCAGCCCATGTCCGCCTGCACCCAGCCTGGACCTCTCATACCTGCCAGGCTGCTGTGCTTTATTTAGCTCATCTACAGGAATGGGCCCCTCCTCACAAGAGCTGAGCCCAGATCGTCTCAGGAGAGGTCATTTAGAAAATAGTATAATGGCACTGGTCTACATCTAGGATGACCAAGATTTGGGTCATATGGACCAAGCTCGCTCTTCCTCCTGAGAGATCACGGTGCCATCCCTGCCTCCCTAAGCTCACAGTTTATCTTGGGGACAGGCATGGTGGGTGACAAAGGCTGAGCTCAGAGCAGCTGGCTGGGGAGTCGGGTGGAGCAAGGGAAAAATGATAGTAACCCATACAGGCATAAAGCACTTTACAGCTTCAGAACTCTTTCAGCCAAGCCAAGGGTTGCACTCAACTGCCCTGAGGCCAGGTGGACCACATAAGTGACGGAAGCAGGCCGCCTGTAAGAAAGGATGGGGAGGGTGTGGGACCAGGCAATTGGAGAACTCTTGCCACCTAAAGGAGTGGCCACTCCTTGGGCCCAGGCATGTGGGGCCAGCATTTCCAGGGTTCCCAGTTTTTCATCAGAAGCCACCAATCCAAATTTTTTACACAGAATCTCTTGCTCAGTTGTTTAGGAGCCAAACAAAATTCTGTGGCTTCTGACCTAAGGATCTCATTTGACCCTCTGGGCCAGATCATTAAGACAGCAACAAGCTGAGACAGGAGACGAGGAACTGCTTGTTCCCATTTGGTGGCAGAGAGGCTGGGCTCAGAGAGCTGATATGACTTGCCACTCAGAGAGAGGGTGACGGGGCAGGTCCTGGCTGCATCTGGCCAGGCTGGGAGCAGGCCTGCAGTGGGGCCCAGCCGGCTCTCAGTCCTCTGCCAGTTGCCCTGAGCAGCAAGTCCTCTCTGGAAGCCCCACCTCTTGGGGACCTAATGTCTTGGCCGTCTTCTCACTGCCACCAGCTCCTGCATGCAGTCACCACCACCTCAGCATCATCACCATCTTGCCACCATCTCCTCCCCACTGTCACCGCCACCTTCCCAGCAGAACGCAAGCAGGGCCTTCACTGGGTGCATGGCACTGGGGCGGGAACCAGTCTACAGCTCCGGGGGTCTTCACTCTAACACTTGTTTCCATGAACCTCAGGGTGAACAGGGCCAGGCCGGCATCCAAGGGCCACCAGGGCCACCAGGCCCCCCTGGACCAAGTGGCCCCCTGGGGCATCCAGGACTGCCAGGGCCCATGGGGCCACCTGTAAGTATCCCCTTCCCCTCTCCTTTAATATTTGTCCCAAGAATTATTTGGAAGCCTCCAAACCTTCAATAACCAATGGGAACCTGGGTTCCTGACAAATGGCAGAAACACCTTTGCAAGGCCGTTGGATTTGGGTGGCTCATGCAAGCAGCTACCTATCCCTGCCACACTCACCTGTTGCACTCTGGCTCTGAAAATGTACCTGCTGAGGCCATGTCCAGCCACTGCCTTCCAGGGAAGGAGACCACTAATAAGCTGCCCCTTCTCCGGCCTCAGCAGAGAGGAACTTGGAGGGAAAATTCCCAGGGCCACCTTTGAAGACTGTCCTTGACCACTAGGCTTAGGAAAACCTGAGTTGTGGGCAGTGGGTTCTGAAGGAGGTAGCAAGGGGACGTCCAGTCACCTGGCACCCCTGACGCACATGCCTTTTGGGGTGCATGCGGGTTTCACACTTATACTTTCCTTCCAAGCTGGATGTCCGGTTGGCCAGGGGCACTGCATCAAGCCTGGGGACTTGCAGGGCACTTCTTTTTTTTTTTTTTCCCTTTTTGTCTTTTTTCGTGACCGGCAACGGGATCGCAACCCTCAGTGTCGCACCCGTACCGGACCAGAACTGGCAACGGGATCGCAACCCTCGGTGTCGCGCCCGCACCTTGCTCAGCCAGTGAGTGGCCGGTCTGTATGTGGGATCCGAACCCTCGGCGGGAGCACCACTGCGCTCCCAAGCAGCGCACCACCGGGCCGGCCCATTGCAGGGCACTTCTGGTAATGATCCAGGAGGACCCCCTCCATGTAGGGCCACATTCAGGTGACAGGTCAAGTCCAGTGGCCACAAAATCACCCATTTTTATACCCTGGCCGAAACCCTACTCTCTCAGCTCAATTTAGTACAACAAAGCACCCAGGCAAGAGAATACCTTGGTGGGTACTGTTTTTCTTCCTTATGACCAAACATCATACATTCACTCTGAAAATTTTGGAACATAGACAAGAAAAAGTCTTAAATCATCTATTTTCTCACCTTGAGTTTACCATCGTTAAGATCTTGGCGAGTTCTTCCATTTTTTTCTGTAGGCACATCTGCCCATAATCACTTTCCAGGTTGAAAATGTTCTGAGTAACATAACAGTCTGTACGTGAAGATTTTCATTCATCATAAAACAAGCCCTTTCCTATGTCAGGAAAATTCTCTTCTGATACTGATTTTAGGGCCCCTGGGCTTATTTATAACAAATTTAATGAGTCCCATTCTGTGATCTGTATCCTTGAACAAAAATGTCCGTACACATCTCTGGTAGTTTCTCTGGGGTCGACTCCCAGAGGTGGAAACGCTGGGTCTGGGATATCCCTGACAAATAGCCCTTGATGGGCTCGGCCACGTCCAAGATCACTCAGTTTTATGTCTGGGCCCCTTCGCTGCCCTGCTGCCAGTCTTGGGGCTCTATATGGGGTACTCCTCAGCCAGGTGACAGCTTGTCTGGGAAGGCCAGCACAAAACTGAAAACCTAAGTTTCTGGGAGCCGCTCTCCTGCCCAACTTGACCCTGCAACAGATTTGAAATATTTCCATAATTTCTCCCCAGGACCCCAGAGAAGGAGATTAATCTTATATCCATCAATTTTTAGATGGGAAAACGGAAAACCTGAAAGGAAGTGAAATTTAGGAAATTGAAACAAATCAAGCCAAGGAAATTAAAAAAGTGCTCAAAATTCACTTCTTAGCTAACTGCTGCCCCTCTTCACCCCCCAGGACATTGGGCCTCAGTCACTGAACCCAAGACAGGTGGTTTTTCTTTGTTAGGTTGTTTATATCTTAAAAAAACCAAAAAAGTGCTCAAAATTCACTTCTTAGCTAACTGCTGCCCCTCTTCACCCCCCAGGACATCGGGCCTCAGTCACTGAACCCAAGACAGGTGGTTTTTCTTTGTTAGGTTGTTTATATCTTAAAAAACAAACAAACAAAAAAACCCAGAAAGCTTGTTTTTAAAACCAATTGAAACAGATCAGACTCTGGCATCATGGCTTTCCCCAGCCCACATTTGCCATCCAGACCTGTGCCAGAGACTGCGGTGGAGCCAGCCTGCCCTGGCCTCTCCCTCCGGCTCCCACAGGCCGCTCAGCCCACCGCACCTCACCATGGCCAGCTGCCGTGGTCATAGCACGCTGGGCAGAAGGAGACAGAGGCTCCTCCACAGGCAGACAGGGCCAAGGGTAAAACCAACTGTCTTCTGGGCAAGGGTGGCTTTCTAGGGAGGGGTCCCAATTAGGAGGTGGGTGGGTGAGGATCTGGACCAAACCACACTGCCAATTTAACACGATGCTGCTGACCTACTTTCCAGTGGGCGAGCACAGCAGAGATGCCCACAGTGCCCACATGGCTCCAAAGAGGGACATAAGCCTGTTGTCCCCACGTGCCCTCAGCAGGTTCCAGATGCCCTTCCAGGATCATCTAGAGCTGTTCTCTAGTATGCCCATTCTCTCATCATAGCTATTCGGGGGCTACTGTGTTCCAGCCTCCACTGTAAACATGGCTAGCCTCAGCCATTTACCAGTGGAAACCACACCCACTCACCTTTTTCTTGCTTCCACAGGGCTTACCTGGGCCTCCTGGACAGAAGGTAAGTTCCCTTCTGCATGATGCACCGGGGAGGTGGGAGAGCTCCCTGCGGGAATGGTGGGGTGGCAGCACTGAAGGCTATGGAGGAAGGAGCAGAGAGCGACCTCAGCTGAGAGCTAGATCAGGCTGGGCTCACTTCTAAACACCGCCCTCCTCTTAGGAAGTGATTTTGTTCCAACAAGAACCGCACTTCTTGTGTAGTCAGGCCGACTGAGCAGGCAATACACTGGTGTTATAGCTGGTGTAGAAGGCACGGACCCACAAGGCTAATGTCCAGGATACTGTCACAATATCCCAGTAAAATTACATTCCATAAAGTGTCAGAACTGGAATACACTGGTGTTATAGCTGGTGTAGAAGGCACGGACCCACAAGGCTGATGTCCAGGATACTGTCACAATATCCCAGTAAAATTACATTCCATAAAGTGTCAGAACTGGAAGAGACCTCTGGGGACATCCAGTGTCTTGTGAATCCTTACCCAGAAGCCCAGTGTCAAACAGACTCTCCCTTTGAAACTGGGGACCCCAGGGCTCTAGGGACGAGAAGGCCCAAAGCACAAATCCAGGCCAACTACTTTATAAATGTGCACGCTGAGAGGGCTGGGGGAAGTGACTTGTCCAGGTTCAACAAATAGTCGCTAGTGGAACAAAATCTAACACTAAGGTCTCCTGGGTCCCTACCAACTTGAGCCTTCCTGGCATTCCTCAGCCTCTGCAAAGCAGGGCTTGTTCCAAAGCGTAGAACAATCTCTGTTGGCCTCAGAGGAACCAAGAGCTGTTGTTCCAGGACAGCTGGAGGTGGGTGTTGATGAGACAGGAGGATTTGGTGTCGTTGGGAGGAAAAGGGATGGTATTGCGTGGGGAACAGCATGAGCCAAAGTTTGGCATTGGGAAACCACTTAAATGGCCTTCTCTTTGTCCACCCAGGGAGACCCAGGGATCCAGGGCTACCACGGCCGGAAGGTAAGTTGGAGGGGGAGGCCCCCACTGCCTTCAGCCATAACCCAAGCAGGGCCTCACCACAGTGCACACAGGGTCAGAACGTGGTCACACACAATGCACGTTTGCACATGCCACCCAGCGTGCACCTCACAATGCCTGCTAGGTTGGCTGAAGAGGGCTTAGCGTCCCCACCTGGGGGAGGAGGAGGAGCAGATGGGCAGGGCCTCGGGCAAATCAGTGGCCCCGCTGGACCTCAGACCTGGTAGGGTCTCTCCTTGCCAATCTGGGTGGCTGCGTCTATACTGAGGCTGGCCAGGGACTCGCTGGCTCCCTGTGGGCTTGATAAGTGGGAACTAGATTACTGGGGCCCAGCCTGGGCAGAGCTCCGTGCTGAGCATGGCGGGGGACATGTAGGGGGCCCAGCTCTGCTCTCTAGCAGCTCACAGGCCAGAGAGGCAGAAGCATTTCTGCACAAACAACCCTGGTGAAGGCGGAATGTGAAATGCCACCACTGCAAGGTGCTTGTGAGGACAGGGGTTGGAGAGATGAATTGCAGGTTTGAGGACTTTGGGAAGTCTTCTGGGCAAAGACAGCCCGTGAACACAACCTTGATGAACAAATGGGTATATTGTTATCTGTTGCCACGTAACAAACCATTCCAAACTTACTGGCTTAAAATGAGGCGATCTGGGAGTTCTGCTGAGCTCACCTGGGCCCACTCACACAGTGGCATTGGATGGTAGATGGAAGAGCTGGAGGGGCCAGACTGGCCTCATTCACAAGTCTGGTGGTTGGTGTTGGCTGGTGGCTGGGGGCCTCTGTTCTCCCCCACATGGCCTCTAATCCCCCAGTAGGCTAGACAGGCTTCCTTACAGCATGGCAGGTCCTGGTGCAGATGGAAGAGCTGGAGGGGCCAGACTGGCCTCATTCACATGTCTGGTGGTTGGTGTTGGCTGGTGGCTGGGGGCCTCTGTTCTCCCCGACATGGCCTCTAATCCCCCAGTAGGCTAGACAGGCTTCCTTACAGCATGGCAGGTCCTGGTGCATAAGCTCCTTTCAAGTGGCTGCTGTCATCACATTTTCTCATGTCTTATTGGTTGAAGCAAGTCATGTGACCAAGTCATGTGGGTCAGTGTGGGAGGAAACTTGGTCTCCACTTCCTGATCAGAAGCGTAGTAAGGCATTTATGGCCTTTTTTTGTTTTTTAAAAACATGACCGGTAAAGGGATCTTAACCCTTGACTTGGTGATGTCAGCACCACGCTCACCCATTGAGCTAAGAGGCCATCCCTATATAGGATCCGAACCTGTGGCCTCGGTGCCATCAGCACCACACTCTCCCAAGTGAGCCACGGGCCAGCTATTTATGGCCGTTTTTAATCCACCACTGTGGTTCTCCAGCAAATTTGAAGGGAAATGGTGTTTTAGTAGGAAAATGATTTGGGCAAAAGCCCAGAAGGGGTCATTATAATAACTATAATAACATAATAATTTTAATAATGGTCACTACTTACTGAACACCTACTATGTGCCAGACTGTCTTTCAACACAACCTGCATTATTTCTAACCCTAAAAGCACCCCATGAGGCTGGTATTACCATTCTCCTATTTAACAAGTGAGGAAACTGAGGTGTGCCCAAAGCCTCATGGCTCTTAAATGGCAGAGCAGGAATTCAAGTCCAGGTCTGGGTCCTTCCCCTGGTACCTCCTGTTTCAAGGAGCCCATCCCTCCCCTCCGGGCCCTGGCTGGCAAGCCTCTGGAGCCTTCCAGGGTGAGAAAAAAGGCAGGAAGGAAAGACACTGGGAGGGGGAAGAGATGTTGGAAAGGGAAGAATCACTTTGGAGAAGCACATTCCTCGCGCATTGTAGTGGGGCAGCCGCCGTCACCACATTGTTTTATGGGTGCTTGGTGGGTGAAATGGCAAGACCGGAGAGCTCCTTAATTAGTTCTGCATAAACCGAGAAGTTTGTATTGTGTCAGGAAGTGGAAATCATAGCCCCTGCGGTCGCCTTTATCCACTCACACAGACTCACAAAATTTATTGCCTCTTGGTGCAACGCAAGGTCGGTTTTCCCATTAGTAGCTGGACCAGCTCTTTCAAGCTGCGAAGGGGCTGTGGGACCAGCAGAGGGTCCCCAGGGGTCACGGCGATACCCACAACTGGTATCATACTATGACAGGCATCTTCATCTGCTGTAAACTGGAAGTCTCCCTCATCCAGAAAGGAGCTTGGGGTTTGTTGTCCTGAGGATGGAGAGGCCTCTGCCTTAGCTGGGGTGTCGTGATGCGAGAGGGCCTGGCCCATGAAGGTAGCAATCCTAGACTCAGAATGTAGGGAGCACCATTCACCCCTGGCTGCACTGATTCGTAGTGAAAACCAGTGAAGTCCTGCTGACGGAGGGGGCAGGGGGGTTTCTGTCCCCCAGGGAGCCAGGAGGTTTGCTCAGAGCACGTTACTCTTTTGCATGGCTGGGGGCAGAGCAAGTGCTGAGGGGTAGGCCCTACAGGAAGAACAATTCCAGCTCAGTAAGAAGGAGTGTCCGGATAGCCAGGTACCTTGGGAGGGAGGGAGCGCCCATCGCCAGAGGTATTCAAGTGGGGACTGGATAACTTCTGCTCTGAGATGGCTTAAGAGAAGCCTCTAGAGCAGATGGGAAACTGGATTAAAATCCCTTCCAGCTCACGGAAATCCTGGCCTCCTGGGTGCAGAGTTGACTCCATATCCCCGAAGAGGCGCAGCCCCCAACTTTGTGAGGAGTCTTGGTCTCCTAAAGCCTTTGTCCAAGTCTTTTCTCCATCCACACCTGGGGCTATCAGAAGTGTCACCCTTCACAGTTCTCGTGAGGAGCCAGGGAGAAGGCCGTGCCCTCATTTTGACTCGTGCCCCCACCACTTCCTCCTCTGCCAAACCACCCCTCTCTGCTTTTCCACAACGTCCTCTTCTCATGCAATCTGGAGGGGATGTGAGGCCACGAGCTCCCCCGCACTGCCTCTCTGGGTCTCTGGGTCTCTGGAAGGCTCCTGCCGCCTCCACTTCCCCCAGCCTCTGATTATATCTTTTCAGTAGGCACCACTGGAGCCATCAGCCTGGCAAAGCCAACTGGCCTGCAGGTGGCCCCAGCACTCTCATCTTTGTGCTGGCCCTCACCCTGCTGGACCCTCGTCCTGTCACCAAGTCCCCAATGCCTCCTAGTCCACAGAGGCCAGAGGGCATGCACTGGGAACTGACAACCATCAGCAGAAGGTTCGCCCCCAAGGACTAAAGGTCATTCCTTGGGAGGCTACAAGTGCCTGTCCCACTGCCCCAGCCCCACTGGGACAGGTGTCTTGACCCTGGTGATCACCATGCTCAGGAAGAAGTTTGCTTTACCTTAGAATCCTTAAATGGGATTTTTTATCTTGGGTGCTGACAGACAAGTGCAGCAATACTCCACAGCCCCAGTGTAGCCAAAGTTTATTCACTCCCTGTCTCACTCGGTTCTTACCGTAGCCCAGTCGTCAGGGCTCGTTATCTCGATTATGCAGATGAGAAGCTCAGAGAGGTTAATCCTTTGCCCAAGGTTGCACAGCTGGTGAACGACCATGGTGGGATTAGAAGCTAGGTCTCATGAGTCCAAGCTCAGTGGACAGCCGTCTTTGCACCCTGCTGCAGAAGTGAATGTCCACTCAGGGGGTCTCACCCCAGGCTGAGCTAACTGTGCACAGACCACCCTCCCCTGTGGTGCTTTGGGATGTGGAGAGCTACTCCCCAGTCTTCCTTCTTTTGCCCATCAGTCCTCACTTCTCTCTCCTCCCCTCTCTGCTCTCTGCTTGGAATGAAGTGCTCACATGGAGGGCGGCTTGGTCACAGATGCTGGGAAGAAGAGTTTGCTCCTACCCCGCCACCTTACGGAGGAGGGGGCATCAGCAGGTGGGGACACCGAGCTGACACAGAGGCCACGTAGCTGCCCCTTACAGTCGGTGTGAGCAGGACCCGTAGGGTCACTGATGGACTTTCCCCTGGAGTGCCACTTGCTCCATCCCAGAGACTTGGTCCACATTCAGGAGGCCTCCCTGACAGCACAGGGTGAACTCGAGGCCACGTAGCTGCCCCTTACAGTCGGTGTGAGCAGGACCCGTAGGGTCACTGATGGACTTTCCCCTGGAGTGCCACTCGCTCCATCCCAGAGACTTGGTCCACATTCAGGAGGCCTCCCTGACAGCACAGGGTGAACTCGGCCCTCGGCAAAGATGCCTCTCAGCCGGTGAAGTTTGCTAGTGATTAGTTCCGTCCACCACCACCACCCCACCCCACCTCCACCAGCTGGATGGGCCAGCAAGGCAGCCTTCTCCACCAGCTCCGCCAGATCAAAGCACAGAGTGGCCAGCGGCCCCTCGTGAGGCCTCTGCCCCCCTCCTCGGGCCCAGCCCTCCTGCCTAAACATTGCAAGTATTGTTGTACACCCATGTGGTACCTATTTGATCCAAATTTATGACACTGATCTACTTTAAATATGTTGCAAGACGTAAAGCGTGTTTAAAACATTACAACCTTGGCTCTCTTTCAAGAGGATTGACGAGTATCGTCAGACTGTATGTGGATCACAAAACTCGGTGAGACCTTATCTCTCAGTGCATCAGAGCTGGCACTGCTGTCTCACAGTGGGAGTATGGGTCGGATGGCTCAGGCGTTGGAGAGGGGCATGGGGAGCAGAAGCTGACCCCCCCAGTCTGCCTCAGCCCTCATTCTGTGGCCATGCTGGCCCTTCTTCTGCCCCTCAATCCTTCTGCAAAGGCAGATTCTGATCCACAGTCAGAGCCAGGGCCCCGGGGGGTGGACATGCTTTTGTGCACTGGTAACTAGTGCTATTATAAATACTGAGCCGCTTCCACATGCCAGGCTGTGTGCTAGGCACTGTGCTTACATCATCTTATTGAATCCTTGTAAAGCCCTGTGAGGCAGGTTTTATCGTTATCCCCAATTTACAGATGAGCAAACTGAGGTTCACAGAGGCCATTTCCCCCAAGGTCCACACTAAAT